CAAATAATGGCAGTACAACAGTGCGGGTATAAGAACAAAGGTCAAGGTTGCAAAGAAGCATTTGTGATTGATATGGTTGTCATGCATACCACTAAGACTAAACGCCGAAACCTGTTCATGGCTTCTGGAAATCTTGAAAATATATAAAATAGATAGGAACGTTTTTGATCTTCTGCAATATTTAACAACAGTCTGGAACATACAAATATATGTACGGGGAGACAAGGACTACTTAACGAGAAGGATAAAAATTAATAGAGGAATCTTCCAGTGGGATAGTCTGTCGCCACTTTGGTTTTGTCTATCAATGAACCCTTTCAGTCAAATCTTAAATAACACGTCTTATGGGTATCAATTGCAGAAACATCCTCTAGTTCCATTAACGCATCAGTTTTATGTAGATGACCTCCAATTGTACGCTGCTGGCGAAAGGCAATTAGTATCGTTGCTAGAGATTGTGAATAACTTCTCAGAAGACATAAAAATGGAACTCGGTCTACAGAAATGTGCTTGTCTGCACATACGAAGAGGAAAGGTACAATGCCGTGATAATGCGGAAATGCTTAATGGCCTTAAGATCCAAACACTTACTGAGGAAGACAGATACAAATATCTTGGTGTCTTATAGGCATCAGAACTTGATGCTGCTAAAACTAAAGAACTTGTCATCGCCAGACTTAAGGAGCGCGTTAAGCATGCCCTTCTGACAAAACTAAGCAGCAGTAACATTATTCAAGCTTTGACCACTTGGGCCTTCCCTGTAATAATGTATACATTTGGTGTTATAAATTGGTCAACAACAACACTTAAAAAAATTGATATTGATGTAAGAACAACACTAACTAAGTACCGTATTCATGACCCTGAGTTATCTATCTGTAGACTGTATCTCCCACATGAAGCAAATAAGGCAAAATACTCTTTGCTAAAAATATCTGAAGGCGTCCGTGCGAAGTATCTCCCTGAGGAACAAGCTCGATCCGAAGTCGAAACAACGGCCGAACAACTTGCTCTCAGAAACAACATTGAAGAGCACAGAATCGAATAAATAAAGCGCAAACCACTTCATGGTCAATTCTTCCATAGTCTAGAAAAGCATTACATAGATAGACAGAACTCGCTACCTTGGCTGCACAGTTCAGATCAGAAGGGAGAAACCGAAAGTTTGCTCATAGCAGCCCAGGATCAAGCCCTAAACACAAGATACCACCAGCGCAAGATTCTGGGCAAACCAGTCGATAGCAGATGTAGAAGGTGCAACACAAAAGAGGAAACAATTCAGCACGTCCTTACAGGGTGCACAGTTCTAGCAGCAACTGAATATCTACATCGGCATAATAGGGTAGCTACCTATATTCATTGGAAAGTTTGTAAAGAACTCCGGATTGACGTGCCTCGAACATGGGATAGTCATAACCCGCCTCCGGTAATCAACACAAGCGAATGCACAGTACTGTGGGACCATTCAATTATGACTGATCGTACCATATCAGCTAATCATCCCGACATCGTTATTCATAATAGGTCAGATAAAACTTGCATACTTGTGGACGTAGCTATCCCAGACGACCAGAACATTACTATAAAGGAGGCAGAAAAGATCTCAAAATATAAAGATTTACAGATAGAAGTACAGCGCATGTGGAAAGTAAAAGCTAAATTTATACCAGTTACGAGGGATGTCTTATAAGTTTTGCATATGGTAATAAAACAACACGGTAGGTAGTTTTAAATGACTTTATTGTTTTTCGAAGTATTCTCCACGAAGATCAATACACATCTGCATGCGCTCGAACCAATTTTCGAAGCACTTATTCCACTCGTTTGCTGGCAGATCCAAAACGGCATTTTTGAATGCGTCAACTGCTTCTTCTGGTGACTGGAATCTTTGACCACACCGTCTGTTTTTAATTTTAGATCGGGACTATATGGAGGATGGTCCAATAATTCCACGTTTTCTTCCGTTAAATACTGCCTTGTTTTTTGGGCTGGGTGCGAGCTTGCATTGTCTTGGTGGAGGATGATTCTTCTTTCGGGGTTGATTTTGCGAAGCTCGGTGATGACTTCTGGCAAACAAATGGTGGTATACCAATCCGCTGTAACAGTTCTTTGCTCATTAAGAGGAATTGTTGCAATATGACCCGCTTTTGACACAAATGTCTCGACCATCTTTTTCGAAACACTTCGAGAACGGATGACTTTTGTTCACCTTGGAACACCCAAACAGCCGACTGTCGTTTATTTTCTGGTTCATAACAGTAAATCCACGATTCATCTCCACTAACAATGCTGTACACATTTTTTGAGTTTCCGGAATTGAAACGGTCAAGCGTTTTTTGAATTAACCCTGGCTGCTTTCTGCTCTTCAGTCAACAGGTGGGGTATCCAACGAGAAACTTATTTTCTTACTCCTAATTCTTCATGTAAATTTTTTGAATTGAGGTCTTTAAGATCTTCAAGGATGCCTCAATCTCGCGATATGTCACATGTCTATCTTCAAGCATCGACGTTTTCCTGGGTGACTGCCGTTTTTGGTGCACCCAACCTGGAATCGTCGCTAAGACTCACCCGTCCACGTTTGAATTCTCCATACCAATGGGAAATTGTCGACTGATGTAGCGCTTCGTTGCCGAAAACAGACAGTAACTCAGGAAGGCATTCTTGTTGCGATAATTGTCCCTGAAAGTTGTAATAAATTATGGCGCGAAAATGTTGTGAGTTCCATTTTTCTAATGACTTGGTGACACTTTAAAAATTCACTGTAGTGAGAACACAGTGTGTATTGTTGTGGAACTTAGAATTTAAGTTTACTAAAGAGTGAGGTTGAGATTCAGTACTGTGGGTTCCGGTGGCTGGTACTGTCCGATCAGAGAAGGTCGAGAGTATGTAATTGACATAATAATAATAATAATAATAATAATGATAATAATATAGTATTTATTTCCCAACAGCTACCCATTTACAGGGCAAGTACAAAATAAAGTAATAGTCTACGACAGGATTTGGAAAGAAAATAATACATTTAAGTACTGATAAGCCATCCTAAAGGCCTATTCATACTCAGCCTTGACGTGTCAGTGCTGTGACCGGCACGTGATCCGCCCGGCGAAACTAAAAAGATTCTTCCTGGAATTAGGATAAACTGATTCACACTAGACCGGCAGGTGGAAGTGAAGAATTTTGATATAATTGGTCAAAAACATGAATGATGAAAAACTAATTGAATTTGTAGGCGTACATCTCGTGCTGTAGAACCCTTCAAATTCAAAATACATGGACTTCCGTTTTCTTCTCGTTTCTTGTTCTTCATCTTTCGTAGGTGGTAGGCGGTCTCTGACTGTCGAACGCTGTTTACCACCCGGCGGATCTCGTAGGCAGGGCCAGAATGTGTGCATGTTGCATGCACACGTGGTCCCTCGCTTGAGTCCATGTGGCGTCCCTCCTTTCCTCTGTGTTTCCCCCTATAGCACCACGGTACCCCATGGGTGTTTAGGCCTTTGGCATTCGTGGGAGTATAAAAAAATAAAAATCCAGAATTAATACAATAATTGCAAGTTCGTCCGCCAAAAATTTTGCCATCTCGACCTCACGTGAGCACAACTGCACTGTCAGAGCACGGAGAAAAATACTGACCGGTGTGAACTGAAAACACTGTGAGCTCACGTCAAGGAGAATCACTGGCACTGTCACGTCACGGTTGAGTGTGAATAGACCCTAAGGATGGATTTCACAAAAAGACTAGCTGTTATCACATAAACAACCCATCGTCAAATTGTAGTGAGCAATGGCATTTGAAGTATAAAAAATAATAGCTGTTTTAGAATTGATTATCTTAAAAATCATATCAACATGACTAATATTTTTCAGAATTATAGAAACATATAATATACAGTTTAATCATTTTGGCTCATAATCTAGAGTCATTTTAGCACCTCCGCCTGTTAAATTTGAGGAGATGTTTGTTTGTCTCTTCCGATTGGTCCAACTGACCGTTAAATATCAGTGCTTATGATATCCATCCTACCAGAACTCTATTGAGATTTCTACATATAACATGCACAGGTGACTTGACTAAAACGTTGGTCCTTGCTCTATATGGTTTAAAAGTGATATAATTGCGTGAAGAAGTATATTATTATACATTAATATTAATTTGCGCTAGAATATCTGGGGAGTCGATCATGTCATGTAGTAGTCTGACAAGAGATATTGCAGATGAAACCTTTCTTCTGACCTCTAAGATATGCATTTCAAAATGCCCACACAGCTCTGCATTGCTAACTCCTTGCTCAGGATAAACTCTCTCACACTTCATATAAAGGAATTCAATTTGAACCTTTATACTTTATATAAATTTGGTAATACGGGCTCCAAATGATACTCGCATATACAGGTTTGCTACGCACATATACAAAATATATTAAGCTCCTATGTCGTTGCCTATAATTCCTGACAAGCAAACAGTATGACTTCTCTGATTGTATCACATCTATCCAATAACGTATTACCAATATTATACTAGAACATATGAATGTTTTCTCCTACTATAACTAACAGCGTTGCACTTGTCCGTATTTAGATGTAAAATGTTGACATCGCACAAAGTCCGAATAGTATTTAAATCTATCTGAAAATCCTAACAATCATCTATATCCATTATAGACGAATATATTTTCATGTCAAATTTCCACAGAGGTGATTAATAAGCAATTAAAATAAAAGTGGTCCCAAGTTAGACCCCTGGGGAACACTGGATAATAAGATCTAATGGAATCGTAGTAGCAAAAAAGTTATGACTTAGGACAGCGGGATTGAAAGCTGTAACTAGCGTCTCTACATACTATGCTGAAAATAGGATCTAATCGTGTTCCTCATTCTCAGAAACATGTTTGTCTCAATGTTGTGGTTGTTACGAGTTTAGTTCAGGAGTACTTTTTGCTGCGTTAATTACGATCCACCATGTATAGTTTAAATGTGAATCAATGAATTTTTTGTTTCAGGATAAATACATCCCATGATATTTGGCAATTTGGAATCGTGCTGTTCGTTTGCTTAACAGGGTGTCTACCATGGCAAAAAGCAGCATTGGATGATCCTAGATTCGTCAGATACTTATCATGGCAAGCCTCCAGCATACCACTCAAAAGGCAGCCCAAACTTTTCAAGTTAATTTCCTCAAAAGCACAACGTCTATTTAAAAAATACCTTGAACCGAAGCAGGAAAAGAGGCCAACTACTTTAGGGGAACTCCACCGTTACTTGGATGACAGGTGGATGTCTAAAGGTATGGAAAAAACAAATGAAACCTTGAAAGAGGATGATGGCCTATGCCCTTCTATGTACAGCTTCCACAGCAGCCCTGAAGAGAAAAACAAACTGCTATTCTCCCTCACACAGTATGGACTCGAAACAACAGTTGATAGGGTCGCTAAGAAAGACAGAATTAGAGAGTGGATACAGAACAGTGTGATAGAGGAAGAGGATGAGGATGTGCACAATAATTTAGACGATGACGAAAATATAAAAATATATGACAACCAAACGGGTCCAGTAGGTGAAATGGTACAGGACCGAGGGCCAATAGCTGAACATAAAGTCAAACAAGTACGACACTCGCACAAGAAAAGGATTGATCATAGAGGACGTCGGCTTTCAACTATTTCTATAACATCAAATAAGGATCATAAGCCACTTGTTGATCCTAGAATTCCGTTAGACCAGCAAAAGCCTATGATGGTAACTGGTATCAACAATATCCAACCCAATGGAACAAGCAGTGAACCCTTCAGTGGTACAACAAACTTAGAAGAAAGTCAAACTCCAGTATCAATTGTAAATGCCAACACATATGGTACAGCAGAGGTTCTCCCATATCAAAACGTGAAGATACTCAACTCCGGCTCATCTGATAGTGCTACCAATAGCAGCGAATCGAGCTTGGCTGCAAAATATCAGCCTGTAGGTAATATCAACGTGCAACATCCCCATTTTCGTTTAATTCAGGCCAATGGCGGTTTGGTTGCAACTAGACGTAAACATAAATGACGGAGATAAAATATTATCAGTCCAAGACTCCAATGTAAGTATAGCTTTTGTCCAGAGGACATAAACACTACATGCATGAAGAGGGTCTTCCACAAAGAACTGTGGCCATATGTTAATCGAAATGTTGGGGTTCGACATGGAAATTTGGGGCTATGGTATAATTGGTAGGTGCGATTCGCCTAAAATAATCGCATCTCGGGTAGTACCGGAAGTAGGCACTAACTTGCTTATTTTAGATGGAATGCCCTGTATATGATTCACATTTACTTCCTACTCCACTGTCACTCATTTCCGTCGGTCTGTCTGTCCGTCTGTCTGATCTTATAACCACCCAGAACTTAAGAAGTATCACTTGAACTTTGATGAATTGTTTACACAATGTTATTAGTATGCCAAGGATGAGAAAGTATTGTAGTTTTTGAAAATCGGTCTATGGCGGCGGGGTAGGGAAAAAAACAAAAATCGTTCGAAATTCGTTTTTTGACGTCTCAGAGGCTCCTGATCATTTGTTATGGACGAAAATCTGGGATTGAGCTTTTAGGAGGTAGGGGGCTGTAAAAGTATCAGTGAAAGCCTTCATATCATTAAGTATCTTCTGATCCCGGTAACAACGAAAAAATTAGATGAAAAGTCTGATACATGGCTTCACACACCGATTCAGGGAATATTTACTTATTTTAGGAATATTGGGTATTAGGAATGCGTTCTGCGATACGTTTGTAAATAATAATTGTTTTTATACCTACGAATACATTTTTCTGAATTTTAAGAGACCTAAATGTACCCGCCCAGTTCGCCTAACCTGTAATTTGTGTTACTTAGTATATGATGGTTCTCTTATTATTTCGCCAAGTAGGTTGACTTAGTACCGATTACGCATTGATAAGCAACAGACTCGGTATGACAAACCGACATAACTGAGAAACACGAACTACTAACTATTATCGCAAGTTCAATGCCTACATCGTTCAGGCTTAGCTAGTTGTCAATTTTGGAAACTGTATCAGTGGTTTCGGAACTACAGACAAAAAAATTAAAATAGCTGGTACATATTGTTACAACGTTTCATAGAGTCCTGCTCATTTTAAGTCATTGTTTGGAGGGGTTGAATATTGTAGTTTGCAAACTGTGTGCGGTAAATAGTTGTAAATTGTTGCATGTTTGGTGCTGAAAGATCTTTTATTATTACGGAGCTGTTGATCCCGGTAATATTATGCACAAAAAAAGGTAAAGTCACTGGAACATAGTGCTACAACGTTTCAGAGATTCCTGCTCCTTTAAAGACATTGTTTGGAGGGGTTGAATATTGTAGATTGCAAGCTATGTGCGGCAAATAGTTGTACATTGTTGCATGTTTGGTGTTGAAAGACCTTTTATTATTACGGAGATGTTGATCCAGGTAATATTATGCACATATTAGACTAATGAGTCACACATGTTTTCCTACATCTGCCATGGAAATACTGATATGTTTATATAGTTTTATCTGTAGAGGTACAAGATTCCGCGTTTTGGAATGACTTAGATAAGAAATAAGACACGGAGGTAAAACAGGAAAGAGGAAATCAAGTTTTAGACAACCCAAAATGTTTTCATTCTTTATGACTTCACTGTATTTCATTGCATTGAAAATAAGGACAATTTTGTATAAGGTTGTCTACTTAGCAAATTAGGAGTTTCCGAATTAATTTTTTGGAGATATTGATACTTCTATTGTTAAAATGCCTTACATAGATTGTAACCTATTGTAAAAGCCGCGGGGAGCACTCCAGCAACAAAATAACGAGTATTTCTAAATATGTCCAATTTAAGTACGTGTAAATTACTAATAAATGGTTTTCGTTTAAAAGAGTTGTCTTTATAAATATAGTTTTTATTTCATTTTTTGGCCTCAGAATTATTTGTGGCTACAAGTTTCACAATTTTAAATTATTCCAGTCAAGTTGCTGTTATCAATTATACCATATTTTCGTAATTGTCTAACCTTAACTTTTCCAGTGATCAATCGCCGCAGCACTATGGGGGCCACCCTTTCTTTTCTCAAAGAGTATAGAGAAAGATTTTATTATAGCTTCTGGGTTCCTACCTGGTGTATCAAATCCTCAACATTAAAATCTCGGAAACAGTAAGGGATGCGAAGTCGCTTAATTAGGGGAGAAGTTGTGTATTTAGGTAACTAACAAAACGCCGCATAGAAAGTTTGGCAAATTCGGAAGGAGACAGAAAAAAAACGAGTTTTATCAATTTTTTTCACTTTTTCTTATTGTTATTTGTAGTGGGATTTTAAGATAAATTGCAAATCAACATTGCCACTTTTCCTCTATAAGATGGCAAAATCAGAATTTCAATATGTCGTTTCGTCTCTTGTCCTTTAGCATCAACCTTACTTTTTCTTATGGTATGCCTCATTAGATTTTTGCACAAATGAATAGATTTTTTAATTCTGATTTTACAAATGTAGAATATGTCATCATTGATATTGTCAAACCTGATTATTCCAGAAACGCAGAAGTTCCTAGGTAGGCATTAAAATTGTCAGATCATTTGTCTCGTATACCAGACCAGATCTCATACTGAACATAGTAACAGAGTTTGTAGGTCTGAGAAGAAGGAAATGCATAGATATACCAATAATTTTTTTGTTGTATTCAGGATTCACCATACCTTTTATTATTTTACAATTTCCATCTAACTACAAATCCATGGCCAACCAAGGAAATACATGACACAATTTAGGAATGAAAAGTCCATTCAAATGTACAAAAGTCCAATATGGCATCCATATGAAGAAACAAAGCTGGTGATGAAAGTAAAAAATGAAATCTCGGATGTAAAATTTGACGACGTCATCTTTTAGAGGAGAACAGGTAACAACGACGGCATTCTATTTATTGTGAAATCATATCTCAAATAAAGCCAGGATAATAAAAATGATTTTGGGATAAATCTGGTATCTGATAATTTCAAGGCCTACTTAGAGACTTTAGTTTTGAAATAACTGAGGTTTGGCAATGTCAGTGTATGACGTATGGAATCAGAATTCAAAACTCTATCTGTGCAAAAATCCAATATGGCGTCTATGAGAAAAAATAAAGTTGATGCTGGAGGACGCCTTTTTGAAACTCTAATTATGTCATCTTATAGAGGAAGGCTAATGGCAATGATAATGTGCAATTAATTTTGAAATTCCACTACGCATATGAAAAAATTAAAACGATTTTTTTCGTCTCTCTCCGGAAGACTTACCTAAATACGCAACTTTGCCCCCATTTAAGCGACTCCACATCTTTTACAATTTCCCAGATCCCAATGCTGAGGGCCGAATTTGAAACACCCGGTATGAGGCATCTGATTCTATTTTTCCCGTTGGGCGATGTAGAATTTGGAATTATGCATAGACATCAGATGGAGACATAAATTGAGTTAATAATAGGACTTAACATTGGAGTTTTCATTTAAACTGATTTAGACAGTTCATCATGTTCAACTGTATAAGATTCGTTTTATTATCTTATTCATTTTGTAAACTGTACATATTTAGCGATTAGCAGCTGGCCTCAAAGTTCTGTTAAAATAAGGCAGGTGTTTAAGCACGGAAGAAAACAATACCTGAAACTGAACCCTCGTTTTGATGTAATGCCATTATATAACTTTTGCTCAAACTTCTAACATAATCATGTGTAGTCATATTTGATTATTCAAGGACATATGTCACAAAAACTGCCTATAAGGTATATATATATATACGAATATATATAGCAAAATTTCATATAAGTATGCATTCGCTATATATTTGGAAGCGCTTAATCAGTATATCACAACGCATTGACCAACGTGCAGTCGTTTCATAGTCAAGTATCAAAATGTAAGAATGTAGCGTAACTAGTGATGTCTAGTTCGCGAACGAAGTAGTTCAAGCAAACGATTCATAAAAAAACTCGTTTACCACGAACGACTGGTATTGCAGGATCCCGGTGATCAAAGTAAACTAGCTGTGAGTGAAGAAACGAGAAAGAGATAGTAGACGGGACACCACCATAGGCAACCGAGTAAGCAGAATGTTGTACAGCTGTTGTGTTGGAGACGATCGTGATTCAATTCAAGAAACTCGAACAGTACAAAAAGAAGTTATTTAAAAAAACGATAAGAGATAATGTTAGCTGAAAGCAATAAAACATAGCTAGCTTTTTTTAAATCACTGTTCCAATAGCAAATGGAACTGATTTCGTAACTGGTGGTTTTCTGTTTCAACAAGTTGCGTACTGATTTCAAACCGGTTCTGAACTGCTTCTAACAGTTCCGGCTCTGAGAGAGAAGTTAAATTTTGAATTTGTAGACGCACGCGCTTTTACAAAATAAATGGCATCGATCAGCTGTTCATAGCTGCGAAGCTGCGTTTTTAAACCTGTTCAGATACCAAACCTTAACCAAATCTGAACCGCAAGTTGCGCCACTTATTACATATATTCAAAAAATGAGTGACTATGAAGATCACTTTGGAACAGATTTAAATAAAGGTTATAGGACTTTTAAGAACCAAAAATTACGTAGGCAAATGCTGATGAGTTGCATGGATCTGTTTCAATTGTGTTATTGATAATACCAAGGCAAAAAAGACAAGAATTCGTATTAAATGTGCCTTGTCGTTTTCCCAAATATGTACAGTATGTCAAAAAGCAATGGATTGTCTCGAATTCCAGTTCTCGCACACAATAACTTGATAACTTTTATCTCAATTAAAGTTATGTTTGCGACAATCAAGCCATGTAATTCACTGTTGCAACAGAATAGTTCGGAAGTAGTTCTGAACTTTGCATACCTATCGCAGAAACATAATTTCGGAATTAGTTCTGAAGCAGTTTGGACCCGCTTTTGTTGACTGATGAAGAAATTAAAACAACACTAGAATGAAAACGGAAGTTAACTACAAATTGCCATTTAAAAACACTGTTTTTGAACTTTATCGGCTCCTAGTCCATTTCGTCTCTCTGACAAGACTTGCCCAACCTACCGCTATTACGACACAATTGTTTTTAACTGTTTCAAATAATCTGGGATATACTTTTGCTCTTTTCCATCACCACCTTTTTCTTTTTTTTTCTCCTTTTGATGCGTAATACGTGCACCACATATGAAAAAGGCACACCTACATAATGATTCATTCTTAGTAATTCACCGTGCCATGGCGAACCATGCTGAAATGACCATAAAAAGGCCGTACCGATTGATAGAAAACGAGTATTTGCAAATATTTCCTAATCTGCTAACCTTTTACAAAATTATCCTTATTTTTGTTGCTTAACGCGATGAGACTATAAAAAAATGACTTCAAGTAGGATGACTGTGAACTTCTCATGCAACGTTGATACCACGATAGCGCATATAGAAACGTTAGGTACGTGATCCGTCTGATGAGAGCATTTTTCTAAGTTTGAAGGGCTAATATATGGAGACATCTATGATGTGTGCTGTGTGAAATATGTCTAATCGGTGAGTAGAAACAAAAAGGATGGGAGTGTATAAATGTACTGACATCAAAAAATTGAGACAAACCTTACTCACTCTCCGACAACCCCACCCCCAAGTTTTTTTACCTAGACCTTTTTTCCAAAAATGATCAAAAAACGAAGATTGAGCAATTTGGATACTTTTCCGCTTTTGGCTTTTTTTATCTCCCGATACTGGGCTGATTTCAAAAACTACAAAGCTTTTGCGTCAGTGGCATACATTGTATAAAAATTTCATCAAAATTCGAACGGTACATCTCAAGCTACAGGCGGTCATAGAATTTAGTGGACAGACCAAAGGAAATGAGTGACTTTTTTTTGTGATGTATATATCATATAACATCCAATATATAACAATATCTCATTTTCGGAATTTTTCGCAATTACAATACTTCCCCGCCAGTAGGCGTAAGAAGTAAATCAGATGGTTTCTATTTGGAAAAACCGACTTTTGGGATTTTTTCAGTTTAATCTTCTTATTTACGGCCCTGCCCTACTTATTATTTATTTCAAAATATCGAGAAGTAGATTGCTTTCTAGAAAGCAGCAGTTACTAATCATTCGGCAAATACACAAACTCAATAAAAATTAATAGGCTTTATGGACCTCCATTTGTGATTTGTTAGACAAAATTAATTATACCCCAAGGACAGTTGCAGTTGGTATAGGATTTTATACATAGAACCCCGCGTAGATTTAGAAAATTGCACAACCTATAGGATGTTCCAAGTAAAATGAGCAAGATATCTACTACGTATAGACTATCGCCTTTAGACGTCATCATTGCAATCAATCGAATTCTTGTCAGGCTTTGGGAAAAACTATTTTTCAACTCGCAACTTTCTTAAGAGAAACATATTTGTCTTCCATTGTCCACTTCATAAAAACCATAATGACATGAATCACCCTGTATTAATACAATTACTCGATGCCATTACAAACAAGCATTTGACAACCTATTCCGTACGTGCGCCAAAGTACCACAGCACTACCTTGTATACGAGTAAAGCAATGCAGGAGTACGCGACCTCTTTAAGTTAGGCACCTAAAGAAAGGTTCCTAGAACTTAGAAAAATGTCAGCACCTTTAGGAGTCAGAAGATCAACGACCTTTTCGCGAATGCCCCTTCTTAAGGTAACTTTGTGTTCTTTGGTGTGAGCACCTTCCACTATTCGCTTTTTATCGGCTAGTTTTACAAAATGCTGCCAAGAGATTATTTCAGACCTTTGAGCAGAGTTATAGAACATTAAAACGAACATCCATGCAAATGTTCACCATACCATCTCTTATTACAAGCTTTGCTGCTTCTATTGCCTTACTTTACAGAATTATAAACGTAAAATCAATAAAGCCTTAAACTTGAAACAGTTGGGATATTCTTTACCCTCATAATTCATGACTGGTAAAAGGTAAAATTTATTCTCAACCGCCGGTAGAATAAGCACATAAAGTATGTCTACATACCTTTTATTATATAAGGGACGTGATAGCTCATTTTACCTGATTACACTTTCTTGAACTTTGACATCCAAAAATGCTTATCCAAAGTAGTAATCGTTAGCCTCGAAACATGAAAATGCTCATCCTAACTTGTACTTTAGAACTGTGTTTCATAAAAAGCCAAGCTTTGCATATCCATCCGCTGGTGAGCCACCGTATTTGATAGTTCTAACAAAATTCATATTCTATTTCTCTCAGACCGAGCAGTAACCACCCAGAGACGTATAGTCCCAGAGAATTACAGAACAGTATAAAACAACATACAATTAATAATAATAAAAACACACGCGCATAAGAGCGCATGTGTCCCGAAATACGTAAAAGCTGAAAAGTTACACACTGTGGAAAAGATGTAGGCGGAGCTATAGTTAATTTCCGGTATGTCACCGTCACGATGCTCCGGGGGTTACCGAAATCGTGTGGCGGAAGAGTACCAACTACAGCCACAGAAAAATGGGTCACATGGTCTGATGCCAATGCTTCTGCAGATGAATACATTATATAGTTGACACATCATCTGGTGGTTTTACTCGGAATGTGGTCGTTTACAATGTTCATCTTGCTACCACATATCTTTAAAATAAGGCGCCATAAGACAGTTTTCCAATTGCCACAATTGATTCATTTCCAGTTTCGGCTCTTTCTACAGTGAAAACACCATTATAACAAGTTATTTTTTCCTATAATTCATATGGATTCTTTGCGCAAGATGAATAGTATTTTAGCAATATTTGGGTATTAGTGATGCGTACCACTTTAGAGTTCTGCGATGCTTTTGTGAATAATGACTTAATTGTTTTTATATCTACACCTATATTTTTCTGAATCTTATGATACTTAAATGTACCCGCCCATTTCGCCTGACCTGTAATTTGTGTTACTCCGTATATGATATTTCTTATTTCTCTTCTATATTTCTTCTATTATGTTATTCCGTATATTAATATTCCGCCAAGTAGATTGACTTAGTACTTATTACGTATTGATATACAACAGACTCGGTATGACAAACCGACATAACTGAGAAACACGAACTTGAGTTATGCGAATACCCTTAAGCAACGGAAGACTTGTGAACCGAGGTTCGAATATTATCGCAAGTTCAATCGTTTAGGCTTAGGTAGTCGTAAATTTTCAAAATTGATTCAGTGGTTTCGGAACTACAGACAAAAAAGGTAAAGTCGCTGGAACATAGTGCTACAACGTTTCAGAGATTCCTGCTCGTTTAAAGACATTGTTTGGAGGGGTTGAATATTGTAGATTGCAAGCTATGTGGGGTAAATAGTTGTAAATTGGTGCATGTTTGGTATTGAAAGACCTTTTATTATTACGGAGCTGGTGATCCCGGTAATATTATGCACATATTAGACTAATGAGTACACACATGCTTTCCCTACATCTGCCATGAAAACAGAGATATGCTTACATAGTTTGATCTGCAGAAGTCCAAGATTCATTGTACCTAAGTGAACCTACCATGTCACGATTAGATTCTGCCTTTTGAAATGACTTGGCTAATCCATTTTCTTTAAAAACTGGAATGAAGACGTAGGAAGCATAGAGTCAATCTGCTTGACGCCATTTTTTGTATATCTTGTAAACATCATAGACCTAAGACATTTTTGAGGTATCTCGAACTTGAAAAATCACAAATACGGATCAACAAATTTTAGTAATTTTTGCCGCACGATTCATAACAGTCTTTCTTCTTTTACTGCTGGACCACTATTAGTAGATCTTGTTCCATATTTACATAGGAAATAAGACACGGTGGTAAAACAGGAAAGAGGAAATCAAGTTTTAGAAAATCCAAAATATTCCCTTTCTTTATGACCTCATTGTATTTCATTGCATTGAAAATAAGGACAATTTTGTATAAGGTTGTCTACTTAGTAAATTAGGAGTTTCCGAATTATTGGAGATATTGACTTTTCTATTGTTAAAACGCCTGACATGGATTGTAACGCATTGTAAAAGCCGCGGGGAGTATTTCAGCATCATAACGAGTTTTTCTAAATATGTCCAATTTGCCAATACCTGCCTATAAATAAATTGTTTTCGTTTAAAAAGTTTTTATTTTATAAATGTAGTTTTTATCTCCTTTTTTGACCAACCTAAATCATTTGTTACAATAGGCTCAAAATTTTTAATTATTTAAGACAAGTTGCATTTATCTATTATCATCAAAATTTCCTTTTCAACGAGGTATCACAAGTTGTCATTCTTTTTCAACATGGCGGCATAAATGGCATCATGCCAAATTCAATGTGGCGGCGTTTTGACAGTATCTATGGATTTTTTTGCCAAACTACCCGCTAATTTAAGAGGCAAAATGGATTCTCTTGCCGCTTCAACAATGAGTTAGAAAAACAAAAAAATAACATAAATTTGGGTCCATTTTTGTTTTCACTTAAACTGTCAAGATGTATTTAAAATTTTCTCAGAATTTTTAATAGGAAACGGAGCTTTCTAAATGCTAACAATAAAGAGCGTCTTATTTCCGAAAGAAAAATGCTCAACAGTACGTTTCTTTTATATTTTTTTATTTCTAACGATAACAAGAACAATAACGGAAATTAGCATAGTAGAAACTGAGTAACAAAAGTAACTAAATTAGCAATTTTCATAAACGTTCTGGAGATATGTTTTCAATGGCTGTTCTAATTCTATTTTTCAGTACTTCTAGAGACGGTGGAGGAGTGGCATAAACTTTTTCTTTTAAATAGCCCCATATTGAAAAATCCAGAGGGGTTAAATCTGGTGACCTTGCAGGCCAACGGATTGGTCCGTTGATTCCTAGCCAATTTCAACCGTATCGCTCATTTAAGCAATTCGTTACAACCCTAGAGTTGTGGGCAGCGGCGCTATCCTGCTGGTATAATAAATGTTCGTGCCCTGCAGATTTTCTATAAAATGTTCTATTTGGTTTTGTAAAAATTCCAAGTACATATCAACATTTAACGGTTGCTAGAAAAATATAGGACCAATGATATTAAGCCCTGCTATGCCTAACCAAACATTCACTCCAAAACGTTGTTGGAAGGCACCTTCTCTCACTAGCCTTTGGTTCTTCTTAGCCCAATACCGAGTATTGTTTCGATTAAACATCCCTAGATTAGTAAACCTGGATTCATCCGAAAAAATAATTTGGTGATGGAAGACAGTATTTATGTTCAGATTATTCAAAAAACAGTTCTAATAGTTAAGCCGTCTTGGAAAATCAGTTTCAAATAGATGGTGATGAATTTGATACTTAAAAGATGTGAAGCCATGTTTCTTTAAAATTTTTCTTGCACTTTCGTGGGAAATTTGGCACTGCTCACCTATTAGAGCAGTAGTAGAAGCAGTACGACCATGTTCTACGTACGCTAGGACGTTTATTTCGACTTCTTCACTTACTATAAAACGACTACCATTAACAGGATCGTTATGTTCATTTTTTAAATATTCTATGAACCAAGGATACTGGCGTGTGATGGAGCCTGACAATCTGGAAACCGCCCCTGATATAATCTTGCGACGCGCCTCGAATTTCTTTGGTATTCACCATAAATGAGAAGCATGATCAAGATGATCTCTTGAATAATTCATTATACCTTGTAGCAGTTAACTACTGAATTGATTTCAAATGAAATAAACAAATAAAATAAAAAAGATTGCACAATAAACGATGCTGAAACGAGACTGATAGTTGACAGTAATTCTAAGGCTTCCCCGTTCATTTGTTTCCAAAGCATCCCCAAATCTCCGTGCAAACCAGTGAAATATTCGTCCCTGTTGATTATTACAATTCTGGCTTTTTAAAACAAACAAAAGAAAAGAAAATAATTATAATAAAAAAATGAAAATCATAGACATTTTCTGTCACGTGACTAGGTAAATACCTACTAACTGTGCTTAGGTAATAACAAATACTAATTTTCTACTTAGTTATAATGAATACAGCGTTAAAAAATTTTCCATCTTTTTCTTTCCAAGACAAGTTCCTTAAAGTGGACATTTTTTTGGAGATAATTCGACATACTTTATTAGTAGTATTTAGAATACCTACACCGTTTCCTATTCAAAATTCTGAGAAAATTTTAAATACATTTAGACATTTTAAGCAAATTTATGATATTTTTTTTGTTTTGCCAACTCAATGCAGAAGCCGCAAGAGAATCGATTTTGCCTCTTATTTCAGCAGGTAGTTGGGGAAAAAATCCACAGGTATTGTCAAAACGCCGCCATACTGAATTTGGCGTAAATGCCATTTACGCCGCAATTTTGAAAAGGAATGACAACTCGAGATACATCGTTGAAAAGGGAATTTTAAGCTTTATGAAAATACGTAAAAATATATGCCGGGCCTTATTTAAAACTCACTTCGGATCAAGCCGGAAGCGATATTCAGTTGTTTTTGAATTGATAATCTGAGATTTTATGAGTCATATATTCACACAAAATTTCAAGGTTCTTCTTTAAACAGCAATTGAATAGTGAGACGATTTCGTTGACACCCGGTAGAGAAATAAATTATTATAGCTACTGTGCAAGCGCGGATTTAGGATTTCGTCTAGGGAGAGGCGCAAACAATATTTGCGGCTGGAAATTTTTCAACCTCATTGGAACTTCTAGAATTTACCTTATTTTTGCTATTGTGTTCTATCTGGTCAATGCCAGCTTGAAAGAAAACATGGAAAATGCTCAGAGATCCTCAGAAAGGCAATATTTTATTATATGAGAACAAAATAAGTACGAGGCATTTATAATAATTAACTAATGTAACAATATTGAAGACAAAAACATAAAAGACTTCATTACTCTGCTTAACGAACAAAAAAAACATTCTGAGGGACCCCGAGACATATCCCAGTCCATTCCATACAAAACAATGTCTTTGATGGCGAAAACGAACATGAGACCGAAAAATTCACATTATCGTATGGACGCTATACGGGACAAAGAAGGATGTCTCTATAAACCATCTATAGATCGTGTCTTGAGACCGTCTACAGACTGCCAATAGACAAATTGCGCAACGGGGCTACTGGTGTGTACTAAGCTTAAGGATTAAGACTCTGAACTGCCCATTAAACAAATCAAATAGTTGGTGCAAATACTGACACAATCAAGCATCTCTATTGTCAGCAGGTGATAAAAATATCAATATAAATTATTTTTTGAAATTCAATATAGATTTACGACATAGTCGTTGTTTTCTGAGTTTTCGGATCGGTGTTGATCACACGTAAAAATGTTGGAAATCTTTGGAAAGAACTATATCTGTTAGATCGTAATTATTTTGATACTGTATGTTTGTAGGACACAAGGACAGGAATACAGGGCTGTACATATTCACGTGTAGTGCAGGAGCTCTGTGTCTTGAACGAATTCAATATAGCAACATAAATAGACACATTCGCGGGAAGAGATGCGGGACGTGTGTATTTTCTGGACAGGCCACAGGCACAAATCTCATAAACGTCTATTTCCAATTTAGGCATTTATCTAACATAGTGCTTCGCTGCAACACCAACCCCGAACAAAATCAGCCAAGCTTTACACACTTTTCAAATTACTATTGAGCAACAAATAGAACATAAATCACTTTGAAAGTGCAATCTGAATAGCTAATATATTACTCAGACATAGACTTGTCACAAGTCACAATACTCGTATATATATATATATATATATGTATATATATATACAATTAATTGTTAATTGGGAAATTGGCATAGTTTTAGGCTTTAGTTAACTCTTTGGGTTTATTGATAACGACAGATACCATCGTTATGTGTTAAAACTATCAATACACACGAACATATTAAAAATTAATTAACGAGAAGAAATTTTTGGGGACAATTACAATGGGAATGCAGTTTCTAAGCTCCTACTTCCGCTACACGTGGAGAAGGTGCACGGAACGGAAAGGTAATGCGTCTACAGATGACATGTGATTGACGCGACGGAATGGGGAACTGTAAATATCATTGTCAAATTTGGGTATGAAGTATACGAGGGACGCTCGGTAAAACCTCATCCCAAATCACCAAAATGCTGAATTAAATTTGTTCTGGAAAAGTGTGTAGTTCATATGAATGTACGAGTATAACTCATCCCTTAAACTTTTGAAAACCGAAATCCCTCTTAATTTTCAATCTAGACAATTAAGACATTATAATACATTGTTCCATTCTATCAAAAATTCGAATATACGTAAGTTTGACAGGTTACTAGGTGACACAATGAAAATTTTGCTCAACACTCAGCCAAACTGGGTGAAGAACCTTAGTAATGTCAGCATTCCAGATGACATCTCAAGATTTCCTTCTTTAGGTCCAAAATTTAGCGTTGAACCAGTTGTCAACAGTGACATTGCAATCAGACATATTCTGGCTGATGTAGATTCTATATCTTCTTCCATTAGTCCTGACACAGAAAGGAACATTGCGATAATTCGTTCCACCAATATTATCACAAACTATTTTCATAACAGGAGCATGAACAAAAAACACTCTTTCTACCACAATCTGTTAAGTAAAACAAGGAAACCTATTAAGGATCATCCTAAGTTAATTATTACAAAATCAGACAAAGGCAATGTTACCGTAATTATGTTAAGACAACAATATTTTGACCTATGTAATAATTTGACTGATAATGATCGCTCTTATAAAGTTATCAATAAAGACCCTACATCTAAAGTAGAGAAAGGTTGCAATGAGATTGTTAACAGGCTATTCAGCACTGGTCAAATCAACCAGGACCAAAAGATGTCGTTAATCACTTATCATTCTGTCTCTCCTAAATTTTATGCTTTTCCCAAAATACACAAACCGGTACTCTCAGTAAGACCTATTGTGGCTTCTGTTGAATCAGCAACACTAGCTTTATCTTCATTAATTGCAGATACTTTGAAGTCAGCTCACATCAAGGGAGAATACTTTATAAAAGACTCTTTTGATGTTTGTCAACAATTTAATAGGTTTCAAATACTTCCTGATCATGTTATTGCGAGTCTAGATGTAGTTTCACTGTTCAGCAATGTATATTTTGGAGCTTGCATTAGATCCATTAACAAACATTGGGATCAAATTTGCCAACACAGCAGCCTAACCCTGGATTCGTTCATCAATATCGTAGAGTACCTTTTCCAGAACAATTATTTCACTTTTAATAACAAAGTGTTTTCACAAACACATGGTTGCCCCATGGGCTCTGTGTTATCTCCAATTTTGGCAGAATATGTAATGGATGACCTGCTTGATGTTGTTATTCAGGTATTGCCATACAATCCAATTTTCATAAAAAAGTATGTGGACGATATTATCTTTTGTCTTCCTT